TAAATTAGCTGGGGTGCAAGAGCAGGATAAACCTCCCCTCTGGAGCCAGGAGAGGAGAAGGATCCAGAGAGAGCTCAGGGCCTGCAGGGGCTCCAGGAGAGCTGGGGAGGGACTGGGGACAGGGATGGAGGGACAGGACACAGGGAATGGCTCCCACTGCCACAGGGCAGGGATGGGTGGGACATTGGGAATTGGGAATTCCTGGCTGGGATGGGATTCCCAGAGCAGCTGGGGCTGCCCTGGATCCCTGGCAGTGCCCAAGGCCAGGCTGGACCCTGGGGCTGGAGCACCTGGGACACTGGGAGGTGTCCCTGCCATGGCTGGGGTGGCACTGGGGGGGATTTATGGCCCTTCCAACCCAAAGCATTCCCTAATTCTGGAATCTCAGGTGCCCCTAGAGCAGGACATGAAGGGAAGGTGTTTGAGCCACCACTGCTGAGACTCTTCCCAAGATAATTCCAGTTTATTTTCCTTTGACACAGGGAACAGAACAACCTTCCCAGACTGGTGAAGACTCACGAGGGATGAAAATTCCTCTCCTTGCTGGAGGTTCAGGAAATGCTCCACAAAACACCCTCAAAACCCTTTGTAGCACCTCCATCCACATTTGTCACAAAGAGAAAGCATGACTCAAGGAAGAATTTGATGATTCAAACATGATTCAAATAAGAAAACATGATTCAAGAATGATTCCTTTGCTCTCCAAATAGAGATTTTTATATAAACAGAGGTAAAATTCAGTTATTTAAAGTGTCAACAGCCACTATTCAAGACCAATATTTGAAATTGATAAAAATTAGAATTTTATATTAAATCAATCCTACACAGCAACAGAATTAATCTTTTTTTCAATATTCAGAACTTTTAAGCTTGTTAATAGTTCAAATTCTTGCAGTTTCTGGGGCAAGAATTATTTTTAAAGCCTGCTTTAAATTTCCACAGAACAAGTAAAGTATTTTAAGTATTATTTCATCCTTTGTGTGTATATAACAGCACATGTTATCCACCCTCCTAAAATTCATTGCATAATTAGAAATTTAAATTAAAGCCAGAGAGTTCTCAGTGGAAAGAGCACAAATAAGAAAACTGAAAGAAAACCACCATCAAAACGAGAAATCCATAAACATTTGATAAATTTGGCAGTTGAAAAGAAGCCCCAATAAAAGGAAATTTTTCATACTTGTTGCCACCTGCCCACCCGACTGCTTTGCATAGCTAGAAAAGAGCAAAACAGAGGCCAACCTATTTAACTAAACAGTTTTTATTAAAGTAAAAGAAAAGCAAGAATCTATAAAGTAGCAAGTGATCCTATTAGTTCCACCAGACTAAAATCATACAGTCTACGTATGTGGTCCTTTCAGCCACATCTGTTATGAGCCATTTTGATACCTAAAAGCAGAGAATATTTGCCTATATTTATCAGGCACTGAGTGCAAATCAGGCTTTTTCTCCTCAATAATTCCTGGTAGAATGGGTAGATTAATAAAAAGAAGGCAGTAAGAATTATAAAATATTTGTATTTACCCCAGTTAAGGCTGAAGCACTCATCGTATTCCATGATTTTCCCTTTGAGGAATACGTAAAACACAATAAAGATGCAGGCTACAAAATTAAAGGCAACGATCTGATAGCATAATTCAAAGATGATGAGTTAAATATCCAATATCCAGAACTGGATCTGATAAATGGTAAATGTTTGGGATTTATATTCCCCCATTTTCTCACATTTAGAGCCTTGGTCCCAAAGTTTCCTTTAAATAAACTCCGGCAAATTCTTTGCACAAAACGCCCTATTCTTGACTGCTCTTTCAGCCACAGATTGAAATGCAGATCCCAAAAATACATCAGTCACTTATTTCAACTCTAGACCTTTGAAAATCCAGATCAATTGCCTTTTGTCATCGCCTTTATATGGAGAGTAAGAAATTTCTGCTTAGCACCATGGAAAAGCTCCCGGAGCCCTTTGGAAGAGGCGGCAGCATCGATAGTTCGAGACACCCGTGCGCTATTTCACGGGAATTTATTGACATTTTGGGAATATCCATCCATATCTGAATCTTTATGAGAAAGCACAGGTGCCCATATAATTTACAGCACGCACTAAGCAGCTTTCAGGTTCTGAGGTTTGCCCCGAGCTCGGGATTTCACATTTGCAACTTCTCCCTAAAAAGCGGCGCCGGGAGCCGCGCTCGGCACAAACCCCCAGCCCGGATCCTCCGCGTCCCTCGGTAATGAAGTCTGGGAAAGAAATCACAGACACCCAAGTGGTTTGGCAACTGTAAGTGACAGAAGCTGAGCTAAATCCTCTGTTTACACTGGGGATTATCCGGGTGGATTGTGCGGCGCTCCCGGAGCTGGCGCTGGTCAGGGGACGCTGCTCCCCGTCCGCCCGTGGGGCAGGGCACAAAGCCCCGGCCTGGTAGGAAGTGACCCAGAAGGAGATGGCGAGCAAGGATTTACACAAAGCCAGCCTGCCTCAGAAAAACTCCATATGACCATTAACTGGCCGGCAGGGCCTGCCAGGAGGCCTAATTACAGCCCTACAGAGCCCGCTAACAAAAGCTGGAGAGCTTTAGCCCAGGGATGATCTGCTTTATACTGACTTGAGAGAGTCCATATAGAGCGAGGAAAAGAAAGAGGTTTAGCTTGGAAATTCTCCCAAGAGACAAAGCATTGTGGCTCAGTCTGGAAGGCCCACATGGAACATACTTCAGATGGGCTTAAACATCCCACCCTCTCCAAATTAACATTCAACTACTGCCTGCTTAACATCTGCTCGGGCACGGCGACTTGTGGGAGGCTGTCAGAGGAGCCTCAAAAGGCTCCCTGGCACCTCAATATTAAGAAATCTAATTCAATAAATCATGGAAATATGAATTTATAGCTGGGACCGACAACTTCTGAGGAATGAAGGGTTTTATAAATCAAAACTCAGTTGTCTCGAGAATTAAAGTGTTTGGGTACCTCCCAATATTGCCTTGCTCAATGAGAACAAAACACTGGCATTAATCTACACTTAAAAATAAAAAAAAATTATTTAATGAAGTCAGCATGAATGCAGGACTTGGAGAAAAATCTCCTCAGCACTGTATAACCTAAATATAAAAATGGCCATCTCACCCTCCTCCCACACAGACACAGGTGAGTATTTTTTATTTTACCTGCTCTCCTAATGAGAGACCAGAGTCACAATTCCCATCTCCAAATACACCAGGGAAAAAAAAAAAATCTCAATAGTAAGAGCCTGATTTACTAGGTGCTGATTTCTGCCTTTCAGACACAGCAGCTGCTACTTCCTAAAATAATATCTAGGTTAAATTCGAAAAGCAGGTTTTCTCAAGATCCTAAATATCTCCACAAGGGCAATTCAGATAGGGAAATACAAAGAGGGAACTGGAGAGCAGCTGTGGCTGCCCTGGGTCCCTGGCAGTGTCCCAGGCCAGGCTGGACACTGGGGCAGTGGGAGGTGTCCCTGCCATGGCAGGGTGGGACGGATGGGATCTAAGGTCCTTCCAGCCCAAACCATTCCACGATTCCACAATCTCAGCAGGGATGAATCATGAAGGGACTGTCCCCAGTGTCCCTACAAGCCCTGCAGGTGATCTGGAGCCCCTGCTTTGTCTGTCCCAATGAGGGAGGAGCAGCATCAACACCAGATCCACGGCAACCCACTGTGAACACAGCACAGCTTCCCATTCCCGCTCAGTGGGCTTGGAGCAATCCCCATGACCTGCACAGATATTCCATGAGCTCATTCCCAAGCTTGGGATGGAGCCCTGTGCACACCAACAGCAGCTCCACTCACCGCCACTGAGGTACAGAATTAATTTCAGTTATATTCAAACAGAACGTCACCATAACAGCAATGAACCTGCTGAGCCTCAGCTCCTCAAAAGCTGCCGGGTAATGGCTCAGCAGAAATTCATTTTTAAGTTTGAAGACTAAAAGGCGCCAATTTTGCAAGGAGTAAACACACAAAAATATATTGAAACAACGTTAATCAATGTTTCCAACCCCTTCTCACAGGAATTAAATAAAAATTAAATTTAAATGACTGAATGCAGGACTTGGGGAAGAAGGTGGGTGATGATCCCATAAATGCCTGGGATGACCAAGACTTAAATAAAGCCAGGAAGGAACTTGATTCTGTATTTTGGATTGTAAGAGACACAAAGATATTAAATCTCTTCTGTTCCTTATGAACAACCTGCAGCTTCAATCTAAGATGCAGCCCTCGATGGTGGATATTTAAATTTAATAATGTCACAGACCTCTGATAAGCTTTGGAAAATTTTGGAGCCCAGGTCACGATGATATACAACCCCCAGTTATCTTTTGTACATCTCCCAGGTGTGAAATTAAAAAATGAGATGTGATCGATGGCAGCAGAATACACAAATTGTGCTTTTGAGGTCAGAGCTGTCACATCCATTTCATAATTACATGCTTCAAAGATTTATTAAAAGTTCTGGAGAACAAGGAATGTATTGGAAGAGAGACAAAGCAAAAGGCTGGATGGATTTTGGAAAATGAAGTACATCAGCAATGTGAGGAGATTCCTCTAAAGAGAGGGTTTTCAAAAGGGGAAAAATTATTTTTTATATATATATATATATGTATGTATGTGTATATATATGTATGTATGTATGTATATACATATATACACACACACACACATATATATATACTTGGACTGATTTAGAACAATGCTAAAAAATAAAGAAAATTGCAAAAAAATAAACAAAACCAAATTTTTGAGAACACAGAATCATGTCTCAGTAGCAGCAAGAGCCAGAGGATAAACATGAGGTTTTAGTGTAGGAAAAGCCTTATTTTTATTTCCTTAAAGGGCTTTACTAAGTGCCAGTGATGATGCAAACCAATTTAATCTCAACCTGCAATTCAAGTGAGCTCCAGAGAACAGGATCAACACAAAGGGATAAAATCCCACCTGACAGCACAAAAATGAAGCAAGGTTTTGAAGATTGTCATTTACTCACCAGCTGCCTCCAGAACCAGCTGCAGCCTGGCCTTGGCCTGTTCAGCAGGAGTCTGCAAGAGAGGAGGGATCAGTTCACACCTGCTGGGACACTGGGCACCCCATGGTGAACATTCCCACCCATGGGACACTGGGCACTCCATGGGACACCGGGCACCCCATGGGACATTCCCACCCATGGGACACTGGGCACTCCATGGGACACCGGGCACCCCATGGGACATTCCCACCCATGGGACACTGGGCACTCCATGGGACACCGGGCACTCCATGGGACATTCCCACCCATGGGACACTGGGCACTCCCACCCATGGGACATTGGACATTCCCACCCCATGGGACACTGGGCACTCCATGGGACATTCCCACCCCATGGGACAGCGGGCACTCCATGGGACATTCCCACCCCATGGGACACTGGGCACTCCATGGGACATTCCCACCCCATGGGACACTGGGCACTCCATGGGACCTGGGCACTCCATGGGACGTTCCTACGGGACACTGGGCACTCCATGGGACATTCCCACCCCATGGGACACTGGGCACTCCATGGGACACTGGGCACTCCATGGGACATTCCCACCCCATGGGACACTGGGCGCTCCATGGGACGTTCCCACCCCAGAGAGTTCCTGCCTCCTCCAGCCCCTCCATACCCAGAGCAGCCAGAGGAACTCCCAGACTGGAGTCACCGAGGGAGGAACCACCAAGGAGATCTCCAGAGCTGACCCAAAGCACCATCCCCACCATGACCATCCCACGCCCAGCTCCTCTCCCAGCCCCCCCACCGCAAACCCTGCCTGGCTCCTGGGTGACCCTGCTCCACACAAACACACAGCTCCACAAAACGCTCCAGAACTGGGTTTAACGTGATTAATGTGCTGAGTTTTTCACACTTTTCTCTTATCTGGGCTGATTTTTCCCTCTCCTGAAGGTATTGCTGCACATCTGTTGGCTTGAGGAGCACATTGTTGGCCGCGGCCCCACTATGCTAATCATCCCAGTGATGTTGCACTGTGTCCAATGTGTTTGCCATCCCTCCAAATGTGAAGCCACTCAAACGTTGCCACAGTTAAATTGATACACAAACCCTATTTGTCACGGGGTTCAGAAGTTGATTATTTCTGGAAGCGTCGGAGAAGTTTGGGAGGTTTCTGCTCTGCACTGAAAACAAAACCTGACGGGAATTTTTGGTGGCGTTTTGCAGCTTAGGAAATTCTTCTCAAGAGTTTCTCTAAATGGCTGCAAAAGGGAAAATTAAATAGGAAAATACAGACAAGAGAAGCTGTGGCTGCCCCTGGATCCCTGGCAGTGTCCAAGGCCAGGCTGGACATTGGGGCTTGGAGCAGCCTGGGACAGTGCAAGGTGTCCCTGCCCACAGCAGGGGATGGGATGGGATTTAAGATGTCTTCCAACCCAAACCATGCCATGATTCCATGATTTTAATGGAATGGCAGAGCTCTTTGCCATGAATGTCCCAACTGGTGATGCTCTGCATGGCCTCACCACCCTCATCCACACCCATGAGGAGAGGCTGACAGAACAATTCCATTTCTACTCCAAGAATTTACAGACTGCTCCTTCCAATAGGAGAGATGCTGCATTAAAATGAAATTTAAATTAAGATCCAGATTTTGGTTGTACAGAGTTCCATTGTTTTTAGTTCAGATTTTTGCTGTTTGCATAAACCCAGAATTACTGGGCAGAATTTATTATTACAGCTGCAATATTGATCCTGCTATCAGACCTGACCACTAACCCTGGTGGTAGCAAGAAACATCTTGAAATTTATCATAAATTATCTTCCCATTTCTTCTTCTTGCCATGAACTAATCATTGCAATCTGCTTTGGCATCTTTGGTACGTCATGGGAGGAGAGGCAGGAGAGGAAGGGAAAGATCTGCTTTTTATCCAGAACCAACTTGCCCAGCTTCAGTTTCAGAGAAGCTTTACTTGGGTTTGTGGTTTCTCCATTCCATGACAACTGTAAATTTCAAAATCCCACCTGGATTAGTCGAGTTTGGCAAAATTTTGCTGGACAGAGAAGGAAAAGCATTTGGTGTCAAACACCACCATGCTCATGTCTGCACGTGAACAGTCTAAGTCTTTGTGCATCTCATGCATCAGGTGGGCTCTGGCATCCCAAAATACAATTTCCTATTCCTACAGCATATCCAGTTCAAATATTTACCCAAAAAATCCCTGGATCTCTCACATTCTTGGATCCCTTCTTGCTGGCCACACAACCACCTTGATCTTGGCCTTTGATCCCTTGCGGCCACACAACCAGCACTGTTCAGCACCACTGACTGGAGAAAGAGGTTCCACCTGCAGCTTTAGGATATTTGTGTCCAGCACCACCACAAGAACTCCATGAAAGAGCAAACCCCAAGCAGGCTCCAGAGGAGGAGAAGGGAGCAGCAGCAGCTGCACAGATTCACTCCCAGCACTAAACACGGAGTTCCACAACTGATCCCGCTGCTCTGAGGAGCTCCAAACACCTTTCCCCACTCCTCCCACGGAGTTATGGATGTGCCTTGTTGGCGTAAGGGAGGGAAGACTCAAATCCTTCCTTTACCCAGCAGTTTCCCACTGGGAGCAGCCCAGGCAGCTGCTCTGAGGCATCTTCCCCTCTGCCCTGGCCCCGGGTGTTAATTACTCCAGGGGAGAACTCGGCACAGCCACCTCTTCATCAATCAATAAGCCCTAACCAAGGACTGAAAGCAGGATTCTGAATAAAGGTGACTGCCTTGGCCCCAGAAAACATCTCTCCAACTGGTGGATGGGGCCAGCACTCGGAGAAAAAAGGACAGAGGGGATTTCAGCTGAAAACCACAATTAGAGCCTCAAACAAGCCAGGAGCAATGTGTGAGAACAAGCAGCTACCCCAGGTCAGTATTGATTTGGGGACCATTAAGTGAAAAAATTCAGCAAGAGCCTCAGGAAACTTCAAAATGGTGAAATGATTGGTGGAGGAAGCATTACCAAGAGTGATGTCGAGCAAAATAAACCCTTGTACTTTTCTTATGGTTTTAAGCAGGAAAAGAATTCAAAGAGAGTTAAAGGAAAAATAAAAGTATTTCTAGTGGCAGCTGGTGAAGGAGCCCACTAACTGTAAAAGCAGGAGAGAAATTCCCTAAAATTCCTTAACAAGCACACTGTAAAATGACCTGAGGCCATCCCCAGCAATGAATTTTACACATGTCCAAAAGTGTCTGTGAGACAATGGAATCCCAGCTCAGAAAAGGATGGGATTCCATAGGACACCAGCAACACCCCTGTGATTAATAACAGCTTTTAATATTTCAAGCAAAAATTGGATTAGATCATTCACTTTTTAATGGCAGCTGATTTATAAAGGTGCAGCACAACCCTTAACTTGTATTTCTTTGCAGTTCATCCACTGCATTCCATCACTATTCCTTTCATAAATAGTTATTTTAATAAAACTACACTAAAACAGACTCACAACTTTAAATTTGGTGGGTTTTGTGTAAAAATCCCCACATAATTTGGTTGTCACTCACAGCTCCAGGAAACAAGTGCTGAGTGTGATGGGCAGGAGAGCCATGGTTGGCTTCCCAAATACTCCATTTCAAGGGAGATGTAGCTTCTCAATTAATTAATAGATTGGAACAAACACTTTAATTCAGCTTTAGAATGTATTTTTGAAATTATTCCTACTATTTGGGATGAATGGCAAATGTTCTTGATGGAGGAAACAATATTAAAGTGAAAACTTGAGAACACTGAGGAAAAAAATCAGAGAAACATGAAGTTCATAGAGTCCAAGTTTCTGCTGGAGCCACTGGGAATTTTGTGGAGCAGAGCTTGTGGCTCTTGGTAGCCTGGAAAACTTTTATCCAGGATTCCAGGAGGCCATGAGGCTGCAGCATTTTGAGTTGCAATGCTGCCTTTCTGAATTTTTACCATCATGGAATTTCATATGGAAAATGGCTGAGATGTGCTAAAACTGGGCAGGTTCCACTCCTCCTGCTCACCCCTGACACTGCTGGGGTAAAATTCACCTGCAGGACTTTTCTGTCTCAGATCATCAGGATAAAAGCCCAACAAACTCCTGGCGATGGTGATCAATTTTGGGGGTTTTTTTACACAAATCTTTTCTCTTTGAATTTGATAAAGACAAATCCAGCCCTCACCACTGCCAGGAAAACCTGCTACCTGAAACCAGAATTCCATGTTTGACTGCAGAGAAATCCCCAGTTTGGGGCTGTGGGCAGCAGAAAGAGACCCCAAGTGTCAGTGAGGGGAAGAGCCAAGGAGGAAATCAAACATAAGGGATGCACCTAAAATGATATTTGAATTTATTCTGTAAGTCAGGGCCTGCCTCCACCTGCAGTATTATCCATCCCACTCCCAGCAAATCCCAACAGGAGAGAGCAACAAAGGAGCCCAAGCCCAGCCAGCTTTTAAACAGATTTTGATCAAATTATGGAAAAGATTGTGGGACAGGTTTATATTGGAATGCTGGATTCCTTTCCTGCCATTTACTCCTCTTTGGGTGATTAAAAAATAATTACCAAAGAAACTGAAAATACTTATTTGTATAAGAAGACATAAGAGAATAAAATAATCTCTCTTCATGAGAGAATAAAATACTAAAATAAAAATAAAACCAAAGGAGATTGGGAATTTGCAATTGTCATCTTTTCCTTATATAAGTCTTTGAGGGTAGCAAATTCCAAATTGACAAAGGAATGGTTTTCACATTAAAAACATAAAAATAAAATCCCACAGAAGGATCCCTAATCTGAATTAATAGCACAGAAATATAATAAGCACATCTGGCACTATTTGAATTAAACCCCTGCATTTTCAGACATAAATCTGTTGAAAAGATTGGATGGTAAAATTATATTTATGCCTGAGTTTTTCCTCTGATACAATTAATCAACAACACTACTCAGGAATAGGCTATGGTAGGAGTGTCCTGACTGGATACAGATCCACCTGCTCCCAAAAAAAATAATCTTAAATTTAAAATCTTAAATTAACTATAAGTGGAGAAAAATCATGTAAAACATGGAA